CAGGATTAAAAGAAGATATATAGGGAGAAGCCTTATTAGCTGCTACCTATCTATATAATATAATCCTATATAGTGCTCTAGGGTTAAAATCACCCTATAAGATATATTATAAGCGCCTACCTGCTATTAGGTATATAAAGACCTAGGGATCTATTACCTACTATTATATAAACAAAAACCTACCTAGCAAGCTATCGCCAAGAAAATCTATAGCTATTATTATTAGCTATAGTAAGCAGAAGCACTATAAGCTATATAACCTAAAGTAGAAGAAGATAGTCTAGTCAAGAGACCCTACTATCTTAGAAGGTAGATTCCTAATAAATTAATCTGATCTAGCTAATCAGGAGCCAGGAATCAAAGTAAACGAAAATCGATTTGCTAAGAAAAGATCTGCTAAATAAGCAGCAAACCTAATCAAGAAGATTGCTAGAAATACTAGCAAATCTACTAGCCTATCTACTAGCTAATTAGCGAGTAAGCCTACTAAGTAAACTACTAGTAAGGAAGCTGCTATTGTAGCGGATCTATCTTATAAGATTGAGATCTAAATCCTATCGCTAAAGTCTACTAAAGATAGCGAAGATATATATACTATATCGGATACGCTACTAGGAGATTTTATAAAGACTATTATCAACGATCAGCCTACCGATTATATATTATCGGTAGTAACTAATAAAGAACCCTCTACCTTTAACTAAGCTATGTAATTAGCTGAAAGGAATAAGTGGTATAGGGCCTGTCAGGACGAAAATCAGAGCCTGATAGATCAGGTAACCTATAAAATCGTTGATATACCTCCTAGTATAATACCTATTAGGGGTAGATAGGTATTCAAAAAGAAGCCTATAAGGAATACCTTAGGTATCCAGGCTAATTATATTACAAATACGAACAAAACGATTCGCTATAAGGCTAGATAGGTTATATAAGGATTTAATCAACGATTAGGTGTTGATTTCCTAGAAACCTTCTCTACTACTACTAGAACAGAAACCTGGTATATACTATTGATTATCGCGATAAACAAAAAATAGTATATTAGGCAATACGACGTTAAAAACGTATTCGTACACGCTGATATCGATAGTGATATATATACTATCTTGCTAACTAGCCTATATAGGCTAAAAGACCATCAAAATAAGTACTACTATCTAAAGAAGGCCCTATATAGCCTAAAGCAAGCACCAAGGCTTTAGTCTGAATTCTTTATAAAGGCTATCGCGAACCTCGGATTCGATAGAGTTCCTATTAACAAGGAAATATATATAAATAGCAAAACCTAGGCTATTATCATTATATATATTAATAATATAATCATTATACACAAAGATCTAGCTTATATAAATAAGCTAGCTACTACGGCTAGGCAGTATATTCAATTAGAAGAGATAGGCGAACTAGCTACCTTCCTAGGCAATAATATCAGCCTAAATTATCAAGATTAATTGATAACTATCGATTAAAATGATTATATATCAAAGATCTTGTCAAAATTTGCTACTACTAGCAAACAGCTAAAGAAAACGCCGGGTGAAGCAGGGATCCACCTAAGAAAAAATCAATTAAAAGCTTTAGAGCAAACTATTAATCTCTATTAAAAAGAGATTAGCTCTTTACTATATACCAGCCTAAAGACTAGGCCTAATATAGCCTATCTAGTTGCCTATTGCTCAAGATATATAAGCAATCCTGACTAATTATATATCTCTAAATTAAAGAAGATATAGTAATATCTACAATATCGGCTAAATCTAGGCCTATACTACGATTATACAGGGAAAGACCTATATATAAAAGGCTACTCTAATACTAATTAGTCAGGCGATATCGATAGTAGAAAATCTACTACTAGCTATATATTTAGCCTATCTAGAGATCTAGCTACTAATAATATAGTGAGCTAGAATTCGATGCTACAAAAATCAGTAGCCCTATCTACCTGCGAGGTAGAATATATAGCTATAAAAGAAGCTATACGGGAAGCTATCTATCTAGCTAACCTGTTCAACTATCTAAACGATAGATTAGGCCTAGGCTATACGCCTAGCAAGCCTACTATATTAGTGGATAATAAGGTAGCTATTAAGCTAGCCGAAAACCCTGAATTTCACAAAAGGACGAAGTATATTAATATACAATATCACTATATTAGAGATCAGGTCAAACAAGAAAGGGTCGATATTTAATACGTCCCTACTAAACTGTAATTAGCAGATTTCCTGACAAAAAACGTTAGAAGAGAAATATTTAAAGACCTAAAGAATCTAGCTAATCTCTATGAGATCTAGCTATATATATATCTAATTTGATATATAATATTATAGATACCTTCGGGTATAGTTTTCACCTAAATAGGTTTTTCTATACTCTATACGCGAATACGGAAGGAACTACTTAACCCTATAAGATTGAGATTTAGGAAGATATATATCTAGCTATTTGATAGTAGTATATATATATATCGATCCTATCTACTCTATACTAATCTCTATACTCTACTACTATTTGCACTATAGTATAAAGATTACGGGGGGGTATAAGATATAGGGCAAGATGCCTAAACCGTCATATAGTATATCAAGCCAGATTCATAAGGCCTATACAAGATAGCTGAATCTCTATAAGCTTTATACTATACTATCATCACTACGGTTAATGACATCAAGTAAGACGTATACAACAGTATACGATCTACATCATCACTACGGTCAATGACACGATCTACATCATCACTACAGTCAATAACATCGTACAATCAAGCAACCACCGATCAAACAGCTACTGCATGAGATCACTATGCATCTAGATCTATCTGCATGAGATCATCATGCATCATCTAGAATGATCACATGCAAGAGACAAGTTGATTATAAATATGCCCTGCTTTCTCTACCAAGATAACAATAATGTTCAATACATACAAGCAAGATTCAATACAATCAACCAAGCTTTAGTCCTACTTTACTTTTCTCTCATCTTATGATTCTAAGCCGAATTGATTTTATCCTTCCTATTCAATTAAAGGAAGAAGATCAATTAATCTTACTTCCTCTCTACCTAACCTGCGCAGCATCGCTTGCTCACACTAATTCATAAAGAGCGATTCGTCCAATTTTGGACGAATCAGTATCTTCATCAGCAACCTCACGTGTAGAGGGCACACATACTTATATTAAGCGCTTTATCCAATCATCTAGTGTTGATATATTGACTATATAGGCACGTATTAGTCATAGTATCTTACATCAGATCGAGAGGGTTACGTATAAAGCAAAGAGAGATAAGATTAAACAGCTAACTTACGCATTCTCACCTGTTTATAGGCTAATTACTCGACAGATCTCACACTACGCAGCCAATAAGATTAAAGAACAGGTAGATAAAGCTAAAAGATCTACTCCTATTGCTCCGTTACCGATTTGTACGGGTGCTTTCGTCCAAACAATAGGCCTTCCTTGCGCGCATTAGATTAAGCAATGGCTAGATCAGGGCAAGCCAATCCCTTTATCAGCCATTCATCCCTTCTGGAGGCTGAATTCGCCTATAATAGAGGAAGCTGATTGGTTACCGATCCTCGAGCCAAGTTTGCCAAAGGTCAGATCGAAAGGAAATGAGATTCATACACCAGCTACTGCTTCAATAGCAGGTCTTATTGGTCCAAAGAAGAAGAAGGCCCCATCAAAGTGTTCTAAATGCGGTATAATTGGCCATACTATCCAGTCATGTAAATAGGGCAGCTTTCTATTGGTTGAATTAGTTGAATTAGTTGAATAGTATTAGATTGGATAAATCAATAGTGGTGAATTTATAGTGGATAGAGTGACGTTGGAAAATAGAGTCATGTGATGTATTACATAAGCATTTGGTATATTACATAAGCTTTTGTAGTGGCTGTAGGGAAATCCTGTAGTGTCCCTAGGGTGACCCGAGAGTGAGCGGTGGATTATGTCATGAACGGGAGCGGCGTGGGAATTGGTAAGGACACCCAACTTTTTACTAACGTAATTTTCACAAGCGGCCCGGCCACGGACCCATATCAATTTTTTTCAAATACAGTCATTATGTGACGGTTGTGACTTTCAGGCCTAAATATATTCCGGCCATGCCCCGGAGGGGGGTCTCATAGTAAAAAAGTGTTGGCGAAAGAGGGGGGGGATAGGAATCTTGCCCTATCCATTAAGTACCCGAAATCTTGATGGTTTTCGACCGAGTCTTTTGGATATTTCTATCTGATAGCCTAATTTATCTTTCTATCTCATTAGATTCTAGGACTTTTAGGTAGAATGGTGCTACCCTAAGTGGCCCGAATTTGGTGAATCATTTTTGATGGGGGATGGCAAGACCGGTTTGTACGGGTAAGCTATACTCTTTTCGGCTAGGTTTTTCAAGTTATGGTTAAGTGGTGGCCTTAGCAATTAGGCCCTCCCTCTGCTAGTTATTGGGGCGCAGTGATTAGAGCTTCTCGGACGGGAGGTGTCGGTGCTGTTATGACTTACCTCACGTTCCCCTGTCACGTTTCTTAGAGCGAGCCGATCTAGGGTTTCCACGCAACTATTCTTATAGCTCTATGCAGTGCACTTCGGTATGTAAAATATTCAATATTTTCAAATAAACGATTTTTTCCAATCTCCAACTCTGTTGCTATCTCAACGCCCAAATTGTATCCTGCCTTTCAGCAAAGATAATTGACGTCGCTGTTACAGCTCAGGTACGAAGAGATAATATCAATGTAGTAGCATTCAACGAAGCAACTAGCATGAGGAAGGAAAGAAGGAGAGAGTGTAGGAGAACGAGAGACGATCTAAATGGTTACATGAGGGATGCCTGCTGCGGTAGGCATCAACACCAGGCATCAGACATCACCATATGTGATTCGTCACAGTCACCACCAGACCAGGACAAGCATAATTGATCCTGACTACCAGGTGTAAGCTCCGCTACTCATCCCAAAATAAGTAACATAAGCAGCATTCACACCCTGACCGAATGGTCTACTGGGAAAGATTTTCCACACTCTCGTACGACCCCGGCGATACTCGATCAGACGGCACTCTATAAAAAGCTCGATCTCCATTCAGGGCAATCATGGGATAATATGTCGATGTGTGCGACGGACCGATAAAGAGGCACATTCGGCGCGACTGACGAGAAAACTGCTGACGGCAGCTACAGGGCACCACTTCGCTGGGGAGGGCTGTACCAGAGGGTCAGCTGTTGTTCCCTGGATGATTAATGACCACTTACCTGCTTTATCGTGGAGAAGTGCCGTCTCGGCGTTTACACAATTGTCATCATGAAGCACAACATGGTAGTCCGGGCCGCTTGGGCCGAGCGTGCGAAAGGATTCCGTCTCATTGTCTTCCCAACTGACCAGAATGCCCCCGGGGTATGGCTTCAACTTGATGCTGTGCGGCAGATATCGTAGTCGCCGTCCAATCTCACGCATGAATCTCATTTCTGCTGGTCGAGCCGTGGGATTTGCCTTGAACATGGATGCAATCGCTCGAACCAAGAGCTCTTCCACCACATGACAACAGAAAAACGGGGCTTTCATTTCGGCCAGGTTGCTCGGAGACCAGGGCCGGCAGAATGACCGGTGGTGCGTACAAGCAAAGTCCAACCATCGGCAATGTATGTTCAGCATGACCTGTCCCTTGTCAAAGTATACGTCGACTTGGCCGGCCGGGCCTCGGACGTAGACTACCTGAATATGGTCGGTGAACTTCAGCAGAGCGAAGCAGGCTCACAGCGCTCGGTCGACTGCTCTCGCGAATGTGGCGTCGGGGACGGTGCAGGGCTTCGCATCCTTGAACAGCTCTTGCTGCTCTTCTTCGACGGTTCGGATGGGGCAGTGGGCACGCAGCATTATATACCATCGACATGACCCCCATATTACAGGCTTGATCTCCTCACGTAGGCGAAGTAGCTGTCCTTGAACAATTGAGAAGGATGAGGACTTGTATCGTGGGGGAGACATGGTGACATGGTGCCATGCTATGCGCTTGAGCTCCGTGGTCAGACCGGTGGGAGTGGCCGGAGTCTTGGTAGCACAAAGTTAGCATGTTTCTCGGTTTCCCCATCGGCAGAGCCTGTGCCAGGGATAGTCTGTATGGGTTAAGAAATAGCAGCAAATATACTGGCCAATCAGAGAAACAGAATCAAACAGAGGAAACGAAAGGTGAGATGAAATTGATTTGATTCCGAAAATGAAAACGAAAAACGATGAGAGAAAAAGCTCAGGGTGGTTGAAATACCCCTGAAAATATCAGTGACTCAGAGGCTGCAAATCCGAGATGGCGTGAAAGTACAGAAGTATTGCAAATGTAAACGCGTGTCAAGTCATACCGATGCTGATCAGCATTATCGTGACAGACTGTGAGTACACGTTCCTAACAGATACTTGCTTGTCTTTGGCTGTATAGTTCGGTTAATACAGCCTGGTGGCTGGGGAGTGGCACATCGACTGACTGGTGGCACTGCCTGGTTCGTACGGGTCCGTGATACTGTTCGATTAATGGCAGTACAATGAACAAGCTCAGTATGGTCAAGGTGGGAGAAATGCTTCACAACACTCTTTGGATTCAAGACTTGGTGAATATTTGTCAGAGTGCCGACGCTAGCTAGCCCTCATATTAAGGTCTTTCGAACGCAGTTCGATGTTTTTTTCTACGGGTAGAGCGATAACCTGGTAGCTATCCGGTAGTGCTGCAGTGGCTTTGTTGGGTCGCTTTGGGCGCCATCATTATAACGTCGACTGATAACTCAACTCCCGATCGGCCTTTTAAGGCTTAGCCACTATTATATTTGCGACGCTTTCACGTCTTGATATCTTCTGTGTCTGGTCATGAACTAAAGTCGACGCCGAAAAAAGTGTTCTTTCAACTTTGTGGCAAGATAACGGTGCCATCCCCGAAGCTTTGCCGAATCCATACACATCCAGTGAGTAACCATATCGGATTAGAGAAATCACTGTGCTATCCACCATGACAATTCAATCCCATTACTTCAATGAACATTTGAGTGGGGATTCTAGGTGTTTCTAACATGTTACTAGATCTATTATTTAAGGTAGCCCGGGGTCACATGACTTTTTAATTAGATACTAAAATGACGTAGAAGAAGTGTGGCTGGCCCACGACATACAATACACGCCTCCAGAGCAGGTCAGGCGAGATCGATTAGAGTTCTAGTACCGTCTATGATGGGGAGTCTCTCTCGCCACCCGACGTCAATTATTTAGCTTTGGGAGCCAACCTCCCCTCTCAAGAACGCACAGTCTCCGGTCAGTCTCGAATCCTCTTGTTCCACTGATATGGCCGCCATAGGGAGTATGGGGGATAAATATGTCCAGGAGCCCCCGTATTCTATGGGCATCCGACCAGAATATATCACCGAGTTCGAACGACTACTCTGGATCGAACCAAAATATGATGCGTACTCATCAAACGAGTACTGCATCCGATATGATAGCGACGGATCGACTCTATTCACTGCTACAGGAATGAGATACGGAGAAAATTATACCCGTGAGTATCGCGATTCGTCTGGCCTCCCTTTGTTCGAAACCCAGAAGGTCTGGTCGCTGGGCTGGAAATTTAGACGGCCGTGGCGAGTTCGTTTGCCAGGGAGCAAAGAGAAAGATTTGGTTGATATCCGATTCAAAGGCGTGATGAACAAAAGCTTTGAGGTGAATTTTCGCAATGCAGTTGCGCATGACACCAAAAATGAGGATGACAAGATGGTCCATCTCGTGGTGCACCGTGTCTCGCCTGTCTACCGGGTGTACGAGGTGAGATTGGGCAGCGTCAAAGTAGTGGATATACGCGAAAGCATGGAAAGGAACAGATCTGTGCCAACAAGTCACTATAATTCAAGTGGAGGCATGTTGCCCCGTCGGTTGGCGATGGAGGTATTAGTGGCTGCTAATTTTGACATGTCTCTGGTAAGCTTTGGGTATAATCAGTGGAATGGAGCTATTGGCTAACGTGTGATGGCAGGCTTCTCTTATTGCCGTCATTGTCTGTGATATAGGTTTCAGTGCAACACCTCCACACTCGACTAGTCGGATGCATGCTTCTCTGGAAATTCCCTGGTACGTCTGATCCGGGAGCAAGAGTAGGATTAAACTACCCTAGAATGATTCATTAACAATCTTAATTACTAATTGTGGTAAAGAAATTTTTCACCACTACAGAGTCTGGTTTACCTTCACAGCATTATGGAGTAGGTGAATTGGTACATCATGCTAAATTTCGAGGTCTTTTCCTATGATTTTGAATGCACTAGCACAAAACTGTGTTTTCAAAAAATGGAAAATTTGGATCGGTCACAGTTGTTGATTGCGCGATGGTTTGTTTTGCTCGGGATAGAGTGGTTTGGGCTGGGATGTCGATCAAGCATGCCTCATTCACGGACGTAGCTGAGTCCTCGGCCGGTGTTCGTCGTGCGCTACCGCTGCTAAGCTAGGCATGCCCCGACAAGCTCTCGGTCCGTCAGAGCTTCGAAATGTTACCTAAGCTAATGATCATATGTTGATTTTCCCCGAACTATGGTACCGAATGATCGTTACTTTGCTTATTGGAGGACTCCTGGACTATTTTTCGTCAGCAAGAACACTAAGCTCGCATTTAATCACTCACATATCATGCCGTCAAATTCTCATCAAACGAAAGCCATATCGGTTTCTTTGGCCTCAAGCCAGCATTGTAGTAAGGATTCGGGAAACACGGGGTACCCTCAGCTTTGATGAGGCATCAAATCAGTCAAATGGTAGCAAGGACCTGTCACAAGTGGGCATACTTAGTGCAGGGCCAGTCAAGTAGGGAATGAGGCAAACCATCATTGGAGCGGAGGTAGTGGGCAGATGGCGATACACAGAGCAGACTGCGCATGGAGACTGGACGCTGCTGTCATTAAGGGGGTGGGACTTATTCGGGGCGGGCACGAGATGAAAGGGAGACCGGTGCAAATTGACGACTCGACACCCTACCACTATCCCACCGTGCAGAGGAAAATGTTAGGCTAGGGTCATTAAGGTACCTAGCAAATCGTACCCATAGCTCAAAGATCTATATCGGGATGTATCCTTGTGCGACTATGTTTCGTCGGGATAAGTCGTGGGTGCTGGATGGGTTGTTATATGTGGACAAGGTACCTTAGGGTTGTTCGACGAGGCAAATAGTTGGAGCGTGTCGTCGAGGTGGCCCATGCTTGTATCACCCTTGGTATCAGCCCCACATAAAGTAAGCAGAGCGACGAGGCGTACTTACATGCAACTTTGACGATCGTCAGAAGGGCCATGGAAGGAGGAACTGCGGCTGGTCAGCACATCGTAGATCAAATCAGAGCGTACAACAGGACCAGTGAGTGCTATGGGTGTTGACCTTCGTACAGGCAGGGTTCAATCTGCGCACTTCATATTAGAAAGACGGAAGGATGGCCGGCACTATTGAAGTGTTGTATAAGTAGACCACCTTCTTATCGTTCAGGGGATTTCTGTAGGCCGGCGATTGTATTTATAGACGTCGCCTGCCCCTATCCTATGGGGGTGGATCCAACGGGACCAGTTGGATTTAGGGTTATTTCGTTAACTATGGCCCTACCTGGTCCCTAGGGGACCAGTTGGATCCATTTTCCGTAGCCAATTGGATTCACATTTACGGCTCAGAGGAGACTGAATTTTTGGTATGTTTTTGTTTAGCCATTGATTTATCACAGAACCGAATTTCAGTCTTATCCACTATGTAGAAACCCGATATTGGCGCGGTCGAACGTGTCTAGTTTTTGGATAGGGTACGACCGGGTACGGGCGCTAGGGTTTAAGGCTAATTATTCGCTAGTTAGTAGTTGATATATCAAGAAGGCAATAGGAGTTAGCTAGGTAGTTAGCGTCCGTAGCTAGGATTTTAGGGGTAACGTTCTAACACTTCAGAGTCACTAACCGAAGCGCGAAGTTAGTTAAGGTATCTGCTAGGGTAATTAACCCGTTAGCAGGACTGCTCCGTAATATATTTTGATATATCTAGATTCGCTATACCCGGATCTACCGCCGACTAGTTATTTATTCGGCTACCTTAGTACTAAGTTATCGTATACCGCAAGTGCTAGTATACTATATATCCTACCGGTATCTTAGAGTATTTACGGCGGAGTATCTATAATATCGCTCTATCGTACGCGCGCTACGTATAGGAGACTCTATTTATATAGGACGGGTAGGTTTAGGACCTATAATAGCTTAATTTCCCCTGATATATCTAGCGACCTATCGAGGGCTTAGCTATTTATATAGACAGGTTATTATATACCGTTAACCGTAATTACGGTTACGTTTATCGGTTAGATCGTAGTATACATGAATATTAGCGGAACGAGTATAAGTGGTGTATCGGTAGATAGCGTAGGGGTATTCGATCGCGAGATATCCTGATTATCCACGAGTCTATTAAGCTTGCTACCTAGCGAGTAATATACTAGTAGTTTTTCACTTGGGGTCCCGTAAAGTATTATATCTATATTCGGAACCTACCGACGGACTAGTAACCCGAAGAGCTATAAGTACCTATCGACGTAACTACCCGTATTACTGTGAGCAAGCGATGCTGCGCAGGTTAGGTAGAGAGGAAGTAAGATTAATTGATCTTCTTCCTCTTGATTGAATAGGAAGGATAAAATCAATTCGGCTTAGAATCATAAAGATGAAATGAGACAAAGTAAGGTAGGACTGAAGCTTGGTTGATTGTATTGAATCTTGCTTGTATGTATTGAACATGATTATTATCTTGGTAGAGAAAGCAGGGCATATTTATAATCAACTTGTCTCTTGCATGTGATCGTTCTAGATGATGCATGATGATCTCATGCAGATAGATCTAGATGCATAGTGATCTCATGCAGTAGCTGTTTGATCGGTGGTTGCTTGATTGTACGATGTCATTGACTGTAGTAATGATGTAGATCGTGTCATTGACCGTAGTGATGATGTAGATCGTATACTGTTGTATACGTCTTACTTGATGTCATTGACCGTAGTGATGATGGTATAGCATAAAGCTTATAGAGATTCAGCCATCTTGTATAGGCCTTATGAATCTGGCTTGATATACTGCATGACGGTTTAGGCATCTTGCCCTATATCTCACACCCCCCGTAATCTTTATACTGTAGTGCAAATAGCAGTAGAGTATAGAGATTAGTATAGAGTAGATAGGATCGATATATATATATACTGCTATTAAATAGCTAGATATATATCTTCCTAAATCTCAATCTCACAGGGTTAAGTGGTTCCTTCCGCATTCGCGTATAGAGTATGGAAAAACCTATTTAGGTGAAAACCATACCCGAAGGTATCCATGATATTATATATCAAATTGGATATATATATAGCTAGATCTCATAGAGATTAGCTAGATTTTTCAGGTCTTCAAATATTTCTCTTCTGACGTTTTTTGTCAGGAAATCTGCTAATTGCAGTTTAGTAGGGACGTATTGAACATCGACCCTTTCTTGTTTGACCTGATCTCTGATATAGTGATATTGTATATCAATATGCTTCGTCCTTTTGTGAAATTCAGGGTTTTCGGCTAGCTTAATAGCTGCCTTATTATCCACTAATATAGTAGGCTTGCTAGGCGTATAGCCTAGGCCTAATCTGTCGTTTAGATAGTTGAACAGGTTAGCTAGATAGATAGCTTCCCGTATAGCTTCTTTTATAGCTATATATTCTGCCTCGCAGGTAGATAGGGCTACTGATTTTTGTAGCATCGAATTCCAGCTCACTATATTATTAGTGGCTAGATCTCTAGATAGGCTAAATATATAGCTAGTAGTGGATTTTCTACTATCAATATCGCCTGACCAATCAGCATCAGAGTAGCCTTTTATATATAGGTCATTCCCTGTGCAATCGTAGTGTAGGCCTAGATTTGGCCGATATTGTAGATATTGCCATATCTTCTTTAATTCAGAGATATGTGATTGGTCAGGATTGCTTATATATCTTGAGCAATAGGCAACTGGATAGGCTATATCAGGCCTAGTCTTTAGGCTGGTATAAAGTAATGAGCCAATCTCTTTTTGATAGAGATTAATAGTTTGCTCTGAAGCTTTTGATTGATTTTTTCTTAGGTGGATCCCTGCTTCACCCGGTGTTTTCTTTGGCCGTTTGCTAGTAGTAGCAAATTTTGACAAGATCTTTGATATATAATCATTTTGATCGATAGTTATCGATTGATCTTGATAATTTAGGCTGATATTATTGCCTAGGAAGGTGGCTAATTCGCCTATCTCTTCTAATTGGATATACTGCCTAGCAGTAGTAGCTAGCTTATTTATATAAGCTAGATCTTTGTGTATAATGATTATATCATCAACATGTGTGATGATAATGGCCTGGGTTTTGCTATTTATATATATTCCCTCGTCGATAGGAACTCTATCGAATCCGAGGTTCGCGATAGCCTTTGTAAAGAATTCAGACCAAAGCCTTGGTGCTTGCTTTAGGCTATATAGGGCCTTTTTTAGATAGCAGCACTTATTTTGATGGTCTTTTAGCCTATATAGGCTAGTTGGCAAGATAGTATATATATCACTATCGATATCGGCGTGTACGAATGCGTTTTTAACGTCGTATTGCCTGATATGCTATTTTTTGTTCATCGCGATAATCAATAGTATATGCCAGGTTTCTGTTCTAGCAGTAGTAGAGAAGGTTTCTAGGAAATCAACACCTAAACGTTGATTAAATCCTTGTATAACCTATCTAGCCTTATAGCGAATCGTTTTGTTCGCATTTGTAATATAATTAGCCTGGATGCCTGAGGCATTCTTTATAGGCTTCTTTTTGAATACCTATCTACCCCTAATAGGTGTTACACTAGGGGGTATATCAACGATTTCATAGGTTGCCTGATCTATCAGGCTTTGATTTTCGTCCTGACAGGCCCTATACCACTCATTCCTTTTAGCTGATTGCATAGCTTGGTTAAAGGTAGAGGGTTCTTTATCAGTTACTGCCGATAATATATAATCGGTAGGCTGATCGTTGATAATAGTCTTTATAAAATCTCTTAGTAGCGTATCTAATATAGTATATATATCT